ATAATTTAAAAATGTAAATACTGTATGAGAACAAGAATTGAAATTTAAAGATTTTAAGTTTAGGGTGCAGATTTATATGAAATAAATTCTAAATCCATTTAAATTCCGTTCTTATTTACAACATATATAAGAATGTTTAAAGAACTAAATCCTTAAATGCTCCAAATATATAATTTCAATTATAATCTTGACACAAATTCTCGATAACCATTTTATCCGTTAATTTTCTTTGAAAAAAAAAATGACTGGATTTTTTAAACGAATTGAATCTATTGTTAATATTGTTAAGAGGCCTAATCCGAATTTTTTTACATCATCTATTGCACTAGCTGTTTTAATCATTTCAATTTTGTTTATGATGGCGGTTGGCGTTGGATGGACAAACCTAATTTTTCCAGTTGGAAGCTCATTGATAATGGATATACCAATGGCAGTGACTTTCATAACAGTGCATTCAATTACAATCATATTCAGTGGTGTTTTCAATTGGTGGATGAGTTATTACATAACCGATGACACATACGAAAAGTATTCTAAGGATAAAGATGATTTAGTAAAAACAATAGTTAATAGTACCGAAGTTGGAATAAAGCCCACAATAGACCGATTTAAAATAGATATTCCACTCCCATTAAAACTTATCGGTATTTTAGCTGCTTTAACTGGAATACTTAACATATTTATTGGATCCTCATTAATCCCCATTACAGTGCCATTTTCGCTACCCCTTTATGGTAATACATTTATTGCAGATCCTTTAGTTTTATGTGATAACAAGAATATTAGCGATAACTCATGCCAAAATTTATTCCAAAATAAATTTGATTTTCGGTGGTTTCAGGAAGCTTCTAACATAATGATAAATGGATATTCTGACGATCTGTCTAGAAGGTGGGGAGGCAAAAGAGGTGTAGTAAAGAATTTGAGAATACTGATGGTAGCAGCTGTGCATAACGATTCTAATTCGATTTATCGACTTGTTAAAGCTGCAGATGAGAGTTACACTATTCCAGCTTTTGGTATAATTACTTTATGTAATGGGTCTATTGATAAAAATGAGTTTGAATACTTAAAATATAGTAATTTAACAAACTTAACTGAAGAAGAAGCACATGTCAACTTAATACGTGCTATGGAAGGGGAATCAGAGAAATCAAAGTTAGAAGGCCGATGGATAGCAGAAGTCGTTAAACTTGAACTTGATGAATATCGTGGTGAAACAACAAGAATTACTGTTAATTTTGTGCAAATATTAAATTTTGCTTCATTATGTATCGGAAAATCTATGTGGAATAACTCTTATTATCAGTTATGTCAACCAATGGATAATCAGCCATTTGTTTGCTATACGAACATTCATGTTGAAAATATAAGTCATGTAAAAGCTGCATGCGATAACGATAATCTCTGCGATTCAGGAGGATATTCGGGAGAATCTGAATTAAATTATTCAAGTCCAAGGCCAGTATATAACACGCGCATACATGATAGTCTTGCGATTTATGGCGGTCACATGTTGATACCTCAATGTAAAGATAATTCGAGTGAAGGTTGTTTAGATCTTCATGTTACTATTCTCATAATAACTATATTATGCATTATTGCGTTTATCTCTTGGCTTCCAAAACACCAAGAATTTAAATATGAAGATCATCAAATATGTATTGATTACGTGACGAGGAAGAAGAATGGTGGAGAGCAGGGACCTGCGGAATCTGTGATATAATTTAACAAATTATGTTTTCGATATCAGTAAATTATGTGATTTACTGCTGATTAACAATAAAAGTACGAATTCGTATAAAATTTAAAAATTTTCCTAATAAAAAACTTACATTTTTTTTGAAAAAAAAGTTGCACTAAAACAAAATTTTGGTTTTTAGGCACTCATATATAGCCCATAGTATTTTATTTCTTTGAACTATTGAAATATATAATAATTTATTATACTTGCTAAAAATGTCGCTTGAAAAATACATTTTCTATAATCGAAGCAAATCGAAGCAATCGAAGCAAATTGCAGTAAATCACATAATTTTTGCGATTTGCTTCGATCACAGCAAATCACAGAATTTACACGTCCCTGGTGGAGAGGATTTGTTGCAGCAAACACAATAGACACCACTTAGAAATCTTAAAAATGCATTCGTGCATGGAAGTTTTAAATCGAAGAACGATAAATTACCGTATAATCGTGCACTAATACACATCTGTGTGCTATTTTGAATCCTACACAAATTTTAGGCTATAAATCAGTACTATGATCGGATATAATACCTTTTTGATATTATCAAATTAATTATATAAATTTACTGATTAATAATAAAAGTGATGATTTATATCATAAAGTCAAATTTTGCGTTTCTTACTTTCGTTTTATATCTTCATATATTAACTTTCCTAACATTAAATAAATAAAGAAATAAAAATTTTTCTGAATTACAGGTTCTATCTACTTCACAAATTTTTCATAAACAAAATAAATAATCACATCAAATTTGGACCAATAATTGAGTAACAAACGTGATGCGAATATTAACATTAAGATAAAGAAATACCAAAAACCTAGATGCTTCTCACCTGAATTTATCCAATTAAAAGCAAGTTATTTTCATTATGAACAGATCCATCCAGTTGCTCCTTTGTTAACGAAATTCCGTCAAGCTGTACTGGTGCCAAGTGAATGAAGAAAGCGTAAAATATCTAAAGAAAACATATATCTGGTCATGACGAGTGCATGCATATGAAAAACTTTAATTTATCTAATAGAATTGAAGTTTTATTTTGAATTCGAATTTCTGTGGATATATATTTTATATAAATTAAAAGATCTTTAAAAATTTTGCAATGAATTTTTTTTGTTAGGTAGTTTCAGACAAAATTCCGAAGAAGCCTTTTTTAAAAAAAAATTTTATCATTGTTTCGCTTTCATGTCACGTTGCAAAAGGCGAAATGGCTTCCGGAACATGGATAATGAAAATGCTACACTATAAACACTAATTAAACAATTTTAACTTAACTCTAATAATGGATAGCTTTGATAGAGGCATGGATAGATTTGGACCAAATATTTAGGGTCAATTAGAGCTCTATATTATGCCACGAGTCTTAATGTGGAATCACGGATTTAGTTCACTAATTCCTATCGATATACAAATTTTACTTATTGGAGAGAAGAAGGATATTGAGCATAGAGGGAGTCGTAAAAACCAACTGTTCTTTATTCGAGTAATATCATATCTTTATATACATTAATTTTTAGAGAATTACTATTTGTACCCGGTGGGTATAATACCTGGTATAAGAAAAAAAATCAAAAATCCTCAATATCTTAAAATTTTACTAAGGTAACCATATGTAGGTATTTTAAGTAAAATTGTTCAGCACCTAATTTTGCATATAACCACACATATTTCTAAATCTTACCCTGACCTTAATATATATATAGGGCTCTATATAATTATTATACCGGGTATTATAAAGATAGTAAATTTCTACATTAAAATTGTACATTTTTCGAGCGTTAAAAACAGGATATTAATCAATAAATTTCAAGTTCAAAAACAATTCATTAATTGCAACCAATGAAATATTTTAATGATGTGGAATTAAAATAAAAAAAATTCGTTTGGTGGCTGTTGAGATATCTTCATTTAAAGGTATAGTTTAGAACATCAAGCTGCGGCAAGTTTGTTTAAGTTTTAAGTAAAGGTGCTTCAATTATTTTTTTTTTTATTTTGATTCTACAATATTGTAGAATTAAAATAAAAATTTTTTATCAAATTTGGTCTAGTAATTATTAAGAAATTGCTTGAAGTTTAAAAAATGATTTCGATCTTTTCTGATATTAACCATTTTTTTGAAAATGTATACTAGTTTTTCTCGGCAACTACCAAACCAATCTCAATAAATTTTTTTTTATTTTCATTCTATATGGTTACAGGATTAAAATAAAAAAAAATTCATAATTTTGGCCTAGTAGTCGTTGAGGAACAATCGCTAGAAGCTTAAAATAAAAACGACCTTCATATAGTATAGCCAATCAAAATCGTTTGTACCACAATATTATCACGTGACTGCAAAATTTTTATGGCGATACTGGGAAGATGGCTTTAAGAGACCCCTCTAATGCGGAGCAGAATCACGTGATATATGACCAATCAAATTATAGAATTTTGATGATCGCCGGCGAAGCAAAACAAGAAATAAAAACGAAAAACCTGAAAAATAC